ATGGCCAGGAGATGCCGGTGTGCCCCAGCGTCCTGCCCTTCCGCAGAGCCGGGCGGGGACACGGCCTGCCCTGATGCCCACGTTGGCTGACGGAGCTCAGTGAAGTCACCCTGTGCTTTACAGCTGTTTTTTTCTCCTGTCACCGCGGTCCACCCGCTTTCAGGCGTTGAGTACAGATCCCAGCACTTGCCTGGTTTGGATGAGGTGGATTTAAGCAGCTGGGGACAGGCTGTGCTGAAGCTGGCTTTGGGCTGTGGTCGGAAACGCTGCTGCAGCTCCGACAGCTGCCAGCGAGAGCAGAGCCCGTGCTGCCACCGCAGGCTGCTCCTCCCTTGAGGGAAGCACTGGCTGGAACTATTGCACGGTGTTGCAGGTTTGCTTGAGTTGGTTGAGCAAATGTGACAGGATGGAAATGGAGGTGAGCTGCACCATCAGAGCATCAGGTTTGCAAGTGGGAGCCCAGAGCTACACACGGGAAAGCAGCGACTGTTGGTACCCCAAGGACCATCTGCTGGGTCCCTGGGCCCACAGCTTTAGTGTGTCACCTTCCTCTCCTGGTTGTTTTTGACCCTAAGCAGAAATGGTTTTGTCTGGAGTATTCAGGCTACTGTGGGATTGTGGGGTTCCCCTTAAAAATCAGGTTTTGGATGCTCTCATGGAGTGTAATGGATCAGCAAAGGGGAGTCCTTTGGGGTGAAACAGAGGAGCTGCCAGACCCCTCTGCCCTTGTGGTCATCCCTCTTACAGCTGCTGCCATCAGATGGTGGAGAAAACTCATCCTCCACGTCTGGAGTGGATGGGACAGCCCAGGGGGTCTGTGGGTGATCTGGGGATTGTCCCTTGAGCAGAGAGAGCCTTCCTGCAGTCAGAGGATGCTGATTGCATCCTAAGAGCTGGAAATGTGGGTGTGAATTGGTGGTTGCTTATTGATGAAATGGTTTTTCTGTGTTTGCAGAGGAACCTGTTGGAGGAAGACTCGGATGAAGAGGAAGACTTTTTCTTGTGAGTTGGAATGCAGTGGCATACCTGCCTGCAGCTCTGAGGCTGAGGGGTTTGGGAATGAAGCCCTTTGATTCCTTTGGGATGTTCTTGCAGAGCCTTGGCCTTGAGCATGAATTAATAGGTGTGACCTTTTGTAAGAGTGAGATGTGGATCCTTAGACGTGGGAGGGACTGATGGGAGTATGAAAACAATTCTCTGTGCACAAGGTGTTGGTTCTCTCCTCTGTGTCCTTTGGGTCTGGTTTAAAAACATGTTTTCATTGTGCTTTCTGTCCTGATTGCTCTTTTCTGCCTGCAGGAGGGGACCTTCTGGAGCCAGGTTTGGACCCAGGAATGACAAGATCAGGCAGTAAGTTGTTGTTGCTTAGTGTCACAGAGATAATAATTTATTCTGGCACTGGGAGCTCCTGCTGCTGTCTTGTCAGAGTATTGTTGTGTGGCTCATCACATGAACATTCCTTGTGTCTGTGTTCTTCTAACTGACCTGTCCTACCCCACAGCTAAAGGAAATCTCAGCTTTGATGCAGCCTGTCAAGAAATTGTGTGTTGACAGAGGCAAGGGGATAAGAAAAGATAAGATAACATCACAGTAGCTTATTGGAGTTTCTGAAGCCCTTGCTGTGTTCTGGTGGTGACCTGTTCCATGCTTTTGTGAGGCTCGTCTTCTAACCCTGAATTTTAACCTTTCCTAGCATCATGTTTTGATTTTTGAGGCTTTTTTTACCTCATCCTGTAACATGCTCCTTAACATTTCAAAGTAAGTATTCAGGAACACACCAGGACCGTGGGTTTGGGCAGCAGCTGGTGCTCTGGCATCCTCCAGATAAAAACCTGATATAGGTCACCTGGAGATGAGCAGTGACTCACTGGGGTCAGAGCAGCTGGAAAACAGGAAACCATTACAGCTGGAGGAGGAGTGGGGCAAGAAGGAAGGAGTGAACACTCTGGATCCTTCTCCCTTCGAGTCATTTCCTGGATGAAGCTTGTTCAGGGCTCCAGTTTTTCTTATGAAGGATGTGGTGGTGGTACTTAATCAAAGTGTGGGGTTACTCACACACCTCTGGTCTGTGTTGCCCTGCTCCTTTGCTGATGTCCGTGGAGCCAGCACACAGATCTGTGTGGGCATTGCCCAGGCTGTTCATGGTGTGCAGCCCATGTGTGGCTCTTGCTCAGGGATTTTTTCCATGCCAGGAAGAAGCCAGCACAGCTCTGGGATGACTCACTGCCACTATCAGCTTCAGGCTGGGCTTGTTCTCTTGAGGGCTGAAGGGCACTTGAGCTGCACAAGAGGCAGAGGGCAGGGGGCTGCACCCTGAGTTTCTGGGCATCCCCCAGAGTGTTAGGATGCTGCTGGTAGAGAGGAGCTGCTCTGATGAGTAAGCCAGTGTGGATAGAGCCTCCCTTTAGGGCATGGAGGCAATGAGAAAGCTGAGAGCTGGGTTTATGGCTGGGGTCTCACCTGCACAGAAAGGTAGAGATGGGGGAGTGTCCATCCCTTCAGCCTCTGCTGGACAGCACCTGCAGTGTCTGTTCCCTGTTAGTGGGAGACAACAGGAGCTCTTCCCTTCCCTGTCTCAGCCTGGCAGAAGGGAGCAGTGCCTCAGGTAAAGGAGGACATGGCACTGTGAAAAGGAAGAGAAGTGAAAGGAGCATTTAGCCAGGAGCTGCTGGGTCCATAGATGTGACTAGCGGCCCACACACCAGGCTTGCCCATTGCCAGACATTGCCTGGACACAGTGGATGTGGCATGGAATTGTCCCTTGGGCTGTCAAGGGGCTACACCTGTGGAGCATCTGTTACAAAACAGAATTTATTTTCTGCTCTCAACAGTGCTGATTGCTTTGTTTAAGAAGCACTCACACCATGCAATCATCACTTCTTGTCATGGAGATCACTGGGAAGTTTCTGATCAGCTCAGCCCTTGTGCTGTAAGGATCAATGCCTGCTCTCACAGTGACTCAGTTTTGTTTCAACAAAGAAAGGGTTGAGTTGCTGCTATAAAACTGTAAGGAGAAGACATTTTAAGGAGGAATTTGAGCATTTGGAGAGCTGAGGCATAGCTGGGCAAAGCTGGAGAGGCCATGGCAGCATGGGGCTGGAGGAATGAGGTGTGAAGATGGGCATACAAAGAAACTGGGGGGAGGATTAGGTAGAGGAAAAAGTGATGGGACTGTGGGAGCAAAGGTGTGGAACATGTTCAACATGAGGGGCAAGACTGGAAAGTTTTCCTCGTTGTCCTTGGCAGGAAAGGGGGATGGATTGGGTCAGGGTGGAGCTTGGCAGCACAGACCCTCAAGGCTGGCTCAGCTGTGGGGAACACTGCAAACCTTGCAGGGGAACGAGGTGAGTGACAGCAACAGTGACAGGAGCAAGTGCCAGTCCCCTTCCAGCTGAGCTTTGTCCTGATGTGTCTGGTTGGGGTGGGCTCTCCTCTGGAAGCTGAGAGGCCACATGAGGTCCCTTTGAGGCCTCCCATGCCCAGGGTGGGCTGGAGCTGAAGCTCAGCTTTTAAAGGGTTTTATCCTTTCCCCAAAGGCACAGAGAACAGGTAAGGCAGAGCTGTTCTTCTTTCTCTGCCTTTGCTTTGAGGCTTTGGAAGAAGTGCTGAATGTGTGCATGAGAGTCTTTTCAAGGGAGGCTGGCATGTTCATCTTCCAGCTGGATTTCTTGATTTTGGAAAAGGAGCTTCTCATCACAGACCATATTTTTTAAAATTTTGCTAAAATCAGCCCCTTTTCTGCACTGCTTGCCTCACTTTACTGCTGATGTTTGTGCTTTCAGAGAGCTGTGCCATTGGGTTCTTGTTCATGCTGCTGCTGTGGCTCAGCACAGTGCTGGGGTTCCCCAGGAGCCCCTTGGTGTCTGTGAATCCCCGTGCTGCAGCTCTGGGGGTCAGCATTGCCCCAGTGGCTCTGGCTGGCTGCAGGCCCTGAGAGGGGAAGGTTTGGGGAATGGTTTGAACTCCTGAGGCAAGAGCTGACTGCAGCTTCCCAGGGCTCCTTGCAGGTTGTGCAGTGAACCCCAACCACAGTCCAGGCTTTTATCTGAAGGGGATAGCAGGCCCATGCTGACAGCAATCATTGTTGGATATAATCCTTGCAGTGACTGAAAGGCCTCAGGGAGGCACAGGCTGCTGTTCTTCAGTCCATGGCTTTGTGGTGGGTTCAGCACTGTTACCCCGTTGTTGGGAGCAGCTGGGGAGTGCTGTGCAGCCTCTGTACCCTCCATCTGCCTTGGCTCTTCCTGCTGTTCTCTTCCCTGGGTGCTTGCCACAGCCAGGGGTGTTTGGGTGGAATGTGCACCAAAATACACACTGTTAATATCACTGGGGTGGAAAACTGGAGTGTGATGCTGGTGCAAACAGCCAGCTTGGAGACAAGCAGCAGCCTTGGGCAGCACAGCCCATGTGTGTGCACAGGCTGTTTACAGTGTCTGCAGAATGCAGCGCTGCTGTTAGCCCAGCACCCTGACCAGCCCTGGCAGTACCTAACCCACAATGAAAATGATTATTCCTCTCACTCTGGAACAGCAGAGCACAAGAAGAGAGGAGTCTAAAAGCAAGCTGAGTGCCACTGGATCTTGTTGGTTTGATGGTGTACACTTGCTGTCCTTGTTAAAAGCATCAGACTTGCAGTAATTAGTAAGAAAGAAGGTCATGGGAGACATATTTCATGGTTTTGTCTTGCTCCCTTTCCTGGCAGGTATTTATTCCACTTTATTTCTCTTGGAAATCTGGCAGGAGTAAAGCACATGAAATGGATGTGTCAAAAGCCTGTAGCTCCCCAAGAGGAAATACACTTTGTATTAGAGGACTCATTCCCTTTTGCCAAATAAAATAAGAAAATATTTTCTTCTTGATGTGACTTGAGTTTCCTACCTCAGGCATGCCAGACTAGTGGGAATTTTTGAATTTGTTGTGTAGCTGCTGGGTTAATACATAGGCTGAGCATTTTTCAGCCCCCTCCTGGAGAGACAGCAGTGAAGGGTGGGAGAGAGCAGAAAGAAAGAGCTGGCTTAGGGTCTGGTTAAGGTGCTGTGTGGAGGTCTGAATTTCCTTGGCTTGGCCTCTTCCTTCTTCTTCTTTGCTGTATTGTTTTGTTGTTTTTTTCCCCAGATGGCCAACTGTGCTACCCAAATGCATTTGTGTTCCATAGGAGTCAACACCTCAACATTTGTGGCAGTTTATAAACCTTGATTTCTTTCTCCATTCTTCACCTGTGCAATGTTTTGTTCTCTTGGGGACAGCTGACAGCTTGCCCAGGGTTTGGGCTGGTAACAAGGGCCCTTAGCATTTTGCCAGCAGCTCAAGTGAGAAGAGGCAGGATGCTGAGAAGCAGCTTGGGCACTGAGGTGCTCTCCCCAAATGCTGTTAACCACCACAGCAGCCTGAAGTTACCACCCTGTTTTGCCTGCAGCATTTTGGGGTGTCCCAGGACTGCAGCAGCCCCCTCAGGGCTCTGACCTGCACTAGCAGGGTTACAGGTGCTGTTGCATTGCTCTGCAAGTTCCTAGATGCACTGTAACCTTGTGTGCTCCCACTTGTTACTTGTACCAGGATAACTTGGTGACAAATCTGTTGTGGGAGGAAATCTCTCTCTTTTGAAGCCAGAAAATGATTTTAGAAACATTTACATAGTGCAAATGTAGACTTGTGTGTGTGTTTGAGGCTTAGAGGATTTGCCAAGTTGGCTCATCTGGGGTAGCAGATGTTGGTGCTTTCCTCTCGCCCCAAGCTGTGGCTGCACTGCTGGCAGCTCCAGGCTGGGGTTTGTTGTGCCAGGGTAAGGAAAGCCCCTTGCAGAACGTGCCTGCCTGTCCCCCAGTGCCCAGGGATGGGCCCTGGGCTGTGTGTCTGTCTGTGTGGGGGAACACTTGGCCCCCAGGGCACTGCTGTGTGTTCCTGTTTGTGTCCTCAGTGTCACCCTCTGAGCTCTGCCAACAGCTCTGCTGCTCATCTCGGGCTGTGTAAAACAAACAGGGGATCAGAGCAGCTCCTGGGCACGGGGCAGCTCCTGCTGAGAGCTCTTTGGGCATCGTCTGTGCCCTTTCCCTCCAGATAAGGAGCTCCTGGCAGTGGGGAAGGCAGGAGCTGCCACCACATGGTGTAGGAGGGTTCAGAGAGATGCTGCTCCCACAGACTCTGTGATGCAGCAGAGAAGGCAGCTTCCTTTCTTCTGCTGTCCTAAATAAAGCACATTTTGACATGTGCTGCTGGAGTCCAGCATGTGCCTTGTCACAGCTGTTGACTCAGAAATTTCAGAGGGCTTGCCTGGCTCTTCTAGCTCTGGAAGCCACAGTGCAGTGGTGCTGGAGAGCTCAACTTGAAAGGCTGAGGTGGGGAACCCCTTGATATTTAGAGATGTGGAACTCTTTCTGGAGCTTTCTGGGGAGGAAAATGCCTTTTAATGCCTTTTATTCTCCCCTGTCTTTGGAACAGTAAGTAAATGTGAGCAAGTGTTGTGACCACTATTGCTGTTTGCAGCTGCTCTTCACCAGCACAGGTGAGAGCACTGGTAGGAGAAATAGGTCAGTGTGAACCTATGTCTCTAATTAATGAATTAATTAGAGGCCTGGTGGTGAGGACAGAGCCCTGTTTGTGGTTTGCAGTGCCCCACTGACTGGCCTTGAGTGTGTGTTGGCTCCAGTTTCGTGGGCCTTGGGGGAGGATACGCTGTTTCTCTCCTGAGCTATTTCTGTGTTGTTGCCTCCAAGATGCTGCTGGTGCCGTTGCCTTTCTGGGAACGGTATGTCTCAAACAATGTATTATCCCCCAGGCTCAAGAAAATCCTCATTTCTATCTCCAGGAAAACAAACGTGTATTAGCTCCACAATACAAACCAGAATGGAGCAGTACTTTTCCACCAGAAAAATTTTTCTCTCTTGCCAGTGTATTTTTTTTTTCTGGAGTGAATAAATGCATTTTTAATAACCCTACTGGTGTGATTTAGGCTGCTGTTCACTGAAGGCTACCCACAGTGTTACATAACCTAGGAGAAGATGAATTATAACTTGGTTTAGTTCATATCAGCCATTTCTTTGCTATCCTCTTGATGCCCCTGGCAGGGTGGGTTTAATTTAGTAACTCAGTGCCTGGAGGAGGGAAGTGATTTGATTTCACCCCAAGTTATTGAGCAAAGGTGTGATGTGGAGGTCTATGAAATATAGAAAGATAAGGTTTGGGTTTTATACTTAGTTTTTCCTCTTTGTGAGCTCTTCTGTAGCAGAGGTGCCCACCAACAGCAATTAGTGCCTTTTCATACTGGATTTGTGTGTTGCAGGTGTTAGAGAGGGTGTCCCACTTCTGCTGCTTCCCAGTGCTCCCTCTGAGCCCCTTGTGTTCCCTTCCCTTCCTGGGAGTGCAGCAGATCCACCCCATGCCACACCTCTGGCTTTCTCTGCATCCCATCTTCCCCTTCCACTGTTGTGCCCTTTCATTTTTGTGGGTGAGCTCTCAGCTCCTGCCAGGCTGGGCAGTTCTGGTGCTCATTTCTGCCTCTTCTTCCCCTTCCACTGTTGTGCCCTTTCATTTTTGTGGGTGAGCTCTCAGCTCCTGCCAGGCTGGGCAGTTCTGGTGCTCATTTCTGCCTCTCCCACTGCCTTTGCTCCCCAGTGTGCAGAACCAGGTGGATGAAGTCATCGATGTTATGCAGGAGAACATCACCAAGGTGATCGAAAGGGGCGAGCGGCTGGACGACCTGCAGGATAAATCAGGTGTGTGGCAAACTCAGCTCTGCTGGGCCAGGTTACCCTGCTGCAGTGCTGAAAGCACCTCATGTCACACCTGGCCTCGCATTTCTGTCCTTGCTGAGGGTGGTGTTGCTCAGCCTTGGGCTGCACATCTGACTTTCTGCTGACTCTCCACCTTCACCTGCTGCTCTGTGCAGAGGCATTAGTTTGGAGGTGCTGGGATCCAGTTGGTCCTTCAAGCAAAGGTAGATTGGTCTGTCTTCTGGCACTGGCCACTGGCTTGCAGAGCGTGTTCCTGTCCTCAGAGAGCAGCCAGTACAGAGGGAGCAGAGTGGGACTTGTGTGCTCTGGGGAAGGGTGTCACATCGACCCAGCTGTGGCTTTGGTGAACCAAGGGCTTCACATCGACCCAGCTGTGGCTTTGGTGAATCAAGGGCTTCACATCGACCCAGCTGTGGCTTTGGTGAATCATGCTGTGGGGTTAGAACAGGTGAGTGGGTGCTGTGCCAGTGTGTGCACCACTGAACTGACTCTTTTCTTTCCTTTAATAGACAGTTTGTCAGACAATGCTGCAGCTTTCAGCAAAAGAGCCAAGCATCTCCGGAGGCAGATGTGGTGGCGAGACTGTAAGGTGAGCAGGGAGGGGAGCAGGCAGGGTTGGGGCTGTAGGAGGGTGCTGAGCTGCCTGCCCTGGGAGGAGCTGGAGCAGCTCTGCTTCCCAGCTGGGAGCACAGGGCTCCTTCAGGGCAGCTGCCCCTGGCTCCCTGTGTAAGGCGCCCATGTCTCCCCTTGCAGATGAAGGCGATCATTGCAATGGTGGTGGTCATTCTGCTGCTGGTGATCATCGGTGAGTAGCTCCTCATCAGCCCAGCCATGGACATCCTGGTGGCCCTCCATGCTGGGAGTGGCCCTGTGGTGCTGCTGGCCCTGAGGGACAGCACCTGAGCCACCCCACGGGCTCCACTGTGCCCTGCAGAGCTCTCTGTGCTCCTCTTTCACACAGCAGCAGCTCCAGCCAAGTCCTGCTGAGTGTGACCAGAGAAAGCCCCCAGTGCCCTGCCAGCCTTGTGCTGGCACTGGCTGATCCCAGGGTGGGTGGGAGTACATGGAAGAGTTTCAGGCTAGAGCAATGTCTTCCAGAAACATCTCTGCATGTATCAGGCACCTTGCAATGAGCCTGCTGTTTACAAATGCTCATCCCAAAGTTGATGTGCTGCCTAATTTCCATTGAGTGACTGTTGTGGCTTTGCCATTGGTCCCTTCCTGTGCTCTCTGCCTTTCCTGGCCTCCCCAGAGCAGGGATGTCACTGCTGTTCCTACCAAACACCTCAGAATGACCAGAGCATGTTTCTTCCAGGCAGCAATAATTGATCCCTCTGCCTGCAGAAGGACATGCTCCAGGGATCCAGGCAGTGCAGCTCTTCTGTGCCACTGTGTTTGGAGGGTTTTCCTCCCACTGAAGTGCCCAGGGGCAGCTCTGTAACTGATCTTGTTCCTTCAGCAAAGCCCTTGTGGCCTGTTGTCCTCCTAACACACAGCCTGCAGTGAGAGAGGCAAAGCTGGCAGCAGGGCTGAGAGAGAGACTGATGGAAAATCCCATCTGGTTTTGCTTTGGGAAGCTGGAAGGAGATGAAGGCAGCAGGATGTGTTGTCTAGCATGTGTGCAGACAGCAGATTGCTTTAGCTGGGGGCTGGGAACACACTTCTGCTCCCAGCTGCTGGGGTTTGTCACTGCAGAAAGGGGGGCTCCCCCTGGCAGGGATGGCTGTGTGCTCAGAGTTTCTTTCTTTGTGTTTTGCAGTGCCCATAGTCCTGAAGTACCGCTCCTGACAGGGCAGCTGGAGGCTGGTGGAGCTGCCTCTGGGATAACCAACCTGCTGTGTAATTTCAGTGAGAGATCTGTATATAGCCTGGAAGTTGTTATTTCTCCTGGGAGCAGGAGGTGGTGGCAAGCAGCCAGCTCTAAGGGAGTGTTTGAAGAACTACCAAACAACCCTTTACCTGTCCTGCTGTCAGACTCTTTTTATAACACAAGATTCAGATCCCAAACCATCTGTTTTGTGGAATTCTGGGTCTCTGGTTTGGAGCTGGCTACTTGTCCCTGTGGTCTATCTGTATATATGGTTGAGTTGTAATATTAATAATAATAATAATAATAATAATAATAATAATAATAATAATATGGTTTGAGCAGCTCCCTGCTGCCTGCTGTGGAAGGCAGAGGGGACTCTGAATCAGAGAAAAGGAGGGGATAAATGTCTGAAGGGAAATGCACCATTATAGGGAACTGATTCTTTTGAGGACAGCTGCAAGGGTGTTGTTTTTCTCTTGTTAAAAAAAAAAAAAGAGAAGAGAAAAAGTGAAATTAGGTTTTACAATCCAGAAGACTTTCTGGTCCTTTCATGGGAATGCACAAGCTCAGTGTTTTCAGTATTGCTGCTTCCAGCTGTGACTAAAGACATTCCAGTAAACCTATTTTTGACTGTACACGTGGAGTTCTTGCACATCTTCATAAAGTCCTGGAGGCCATTCAGGGCTCTCTGAGGCTGGGAGTCCCTGTTTCTGTGTGTCCTTCACCAAAAGTAAGGAATGTGAGTAAAACCCAGCAAGCAGCACAGTGATATAAGAACACAGCTGGAGAACAATTCTCCTGACTCCATCCACAGTGAAGAAGCCCAGTTCATACTGAGAGCCCTTCACCATGATGTGGTGGTGAATGGCAGCCAGTTTCACTGCCCTGTGACCCACTGGGGTGGGGATTGTTCCCAGACGTGGGCACTGGGGACACCAGTGCTGGAATGAACAGGAACTCAGCTCCTCTATCCATGGGTGGCACTGTGGTGTTTTGATGTTTCCAGCCTCAGTGTCACCAAAAGTGCTGGTGGCATTTCTGTCAGCCCTTTGTTTTTGGGAGCTTCTCCTTTCCAGCCCTGAGCCTGGCACTTTGGCTGAGCCAAGCTCTTCTGCTTCTCTTTTTCTGATGAGAGCAGGGTTGTCCTGCTGAGCACGTGTTTGAAATGGTTCTGGGGAGGGGAAGTGGTGCCCCAGAGAGTTTCCAGTGCCATGTCCCTGCTTCCTGCTCTGAGCCTGCCCCCAGGACCTTGCCCAGCTCCCACCTGAGTGCTGCCCCATGCAGAGAAGGGGATTAGGAGTGAGCAGGGCAGCCTGGAGGGCTGGATGGGATTCCACATCAACCTTGGCCAGCTGGAATACAAACAGGGCTTCTCGCCTCTGTGAGAGCTGATCTCTGCAGGTGGCAATCAGGAGGGCAAGCTGGGCTTTTCCTCCTGAAGTATAGGCTGGTTTTATCATACATTCAGTGAAAGGGACAAAAGTCATCGTGCCTGTGCCTTTGGCTGCTCTCTGCCTGCAAGGCACCATGAAGGTGGCTGAGCAGGGACTGGCTCTGTCTCCAGGGGGGCTGCAGGTCTCGCTGAGCTGTTTGGTACCGTGTCCTGCCAGCTGGAAAGTGAGTTAATTCACTCCTGCTGCTGCTCTGCCTTTCCCACAGCCCAGCCTTGCCTTTTACTGCTCCTGCTCCTTGTGCCACCCACAGCAGGACCTTGGTGCCACAGGAGTCCTGGTCAGAAACATCACAGGATTGGATTTTGCTAATCAAGTTTTATAGATTTATTTTCTCCCCACAAGGCTGGAAGGATCATTAGAAATGTGTGCTCTTGGGGTGGTGCAGAGCAGTTCTCCACACACTCTGTTGGTGTTGTGGTTTTATATTGCAGCCTGTGCTGTCCCACCCTGGACTGGTGGCAGGGAGAACTGCAGTCAGCAGAAAGGGAAGGGGTGTTGTTTCCAGCGGTGTCTGCATGCTTGGGGATTGGTTTTCACTTAGGAGATGTTATGAAGGAGCTTCTACAACAAAAACAACTCCTTCACCCAAGCTTTGGGTCTGTTTTACCCATTCCAGGACAGACCATCAGCTGCTGTTTTCCTCATGTTTTCTTTTGTACAGGGAATGGCATCTTCTGGCAAAAGCAGTGCATTCCTCCTCTGAGGATTGCTGTGTGAGGCTGTGCTGTGACCCTGATGCCTGAGGGGGAAAGGGGGATGGGCAGGGGTGCAGAGAGGCCTCCCAGGGGGAAAGAAATCCCTCCATGGGAGTCCCCTGGCACAGCAGGAGCTTGGCAGGGTCTGGCAGTGAGGAGGGGCCTGGGTACACGCTGGGAGAGCTGGGTCTCTGCTGCTGCTCCTTCCCAGGGCCTGCTGCCCACCCTGCACGGCTCCATGCCGGCCCCACGCACAGAATTCGAGCCTGGAGCTTCTGCTGCAGGGCAGGGAGAGCTGCCACAAGGCAACCTGATATCAGTGCACTGCCCGAGCTGCTGGGATTGGCTGTGGATCGCTTTTAGGTTCCAGTCGCTCAGTGCTGGGGCTGTCCTGGGCACAGCCGTCTCAAGGGACAACTCTGGCTGTGAGGGGCGCCAACAGCAGCAAACCATCAAGGACGGAACTTTACGGCTCCGACACAGGAAACTCGATGACAGAGACGCGCCGGAGGTGGGGGGCTGAGCAGCAACAGAGCTTGGAGCACAATTCCCTTGCCGATTCCCCGACTGCGGCTGGTTTTACCTCAGGAAAGCAGCGCGGGCTGCAATGGCCAGGACTGTGAGGG